GGAAAAAAAATACAGACAAAATTCAAGATGTTCTCTAGGCTTGTATAATTTCAGTATCCAAAACCTGCACAGGGTTAATGTGTAATCATTCTTTAATGCAAGGGAACAGATAGGTGGTGTAGAATTTAGAGCCCATATGTAACATACAGTATGCCGCCCTTACACAAAATTGCTTCTAACGCTGTATTTCACTTATCTTTTCTCAAGACTGAATTTTATTCTGTGTCACCAAGATACATTATGTTTACGACTTAAAAAACACAACAATGCTCATCCAACCAAATATAAGCAGTGTCACTACATTTATTTTTTCTGTCTCTACGTGGTTATTTTATTGGGTGTACATATTATTCACCTTAGTCAAGTCTAATGAGGGTGTAATTTACTGGCTGTCTCCAGGAGCAAACTCTCCCAAAAGATATTTTTCACTGTCTATAAAGATCTGGACCCCTGTAGTTTGGGACAGGAGCTTTTAGCACGTTTGTGTCCCATTTCAGGACTGTATTACGACACAAATGTTTTTGTTTGGGAAAGTGAGGGCTGTACTACATTTCATATTTGGATTATAGAAACCTAGCGAATGGCAACTCTAACATTTAAGTTAGTTATCAAAACACATCCGCGCCTTTTCTAAATTGATGTCTTCCTTACGACCACTTTAACCCCTGAAAACATGTTAGCTATTAGTAAGCTAAAGTTAGCCTAGCTGGATAGCCTATCACTCTAGATATTCCATTTCACAAGAAAACTCTGCCACTTGCTAACCAGATATGACCGTCGACAACCAAAGTCATTTTATAATCCCACTTCATAGCTTTTACCCACCTGACAAAACAGTTACATGTAGAAACGCCTGCCCAAGTACATGCTACCTAGCACGTTTAGCATGCTAACTATTTAGCTAATTACTACCTCGCTGTTCGTGGTAAAGGAACATGAATGAAAAAGCTACACTTCCTTCTACGCACCATAAAATATAAACAAACATGCAATACATTGATACGATTTTCGTTATATTTAATTGTGTTGTGAAAAGAGTTTGTTCGTTGCAGTATTCTATTACCATATAGGCTTTCTAAACATGAAGTAGATAAACATATCACAGCCCTAAATTTACGTGGTTCATCGCCTTCTAGCTAGTGTTAGCTGGATGGCTATCAGACAGGGCCCAGTTAAAGTGGCGCAGCGTCACCGCAGTGAACGCTACGATGACAATCCTCGGCTGTCTTCAGCCTTTTAATATCCCCACCGCTTACCAGTTTTATCCCAAATCACTAGTGTTTCACGTTTATCAGATATTGATGCCTATCTCTTGTTGATAAAACCGAACAGTATGGAGGACATTGTTCACAAAACGTATCGATAATTAAAGGCCCTCCCTCTGATATCTGTGCCCCCCTCCTTTCTCCTCCACCTCTCCCGACAAGCCGCTTCAACCCATTCCTGCCGTGGAATCGAGATTCGGTGTGCCCCACGAATATAAAGCTAAGAGTGAACCCTTCGGTTATTAGGGGTGCCATGTCGAAACAAATCTTACCATTAGTTCCAATGTTTTGTCCTCCATCTCCGGCTCCATGTTGACGATCCCCCCCGAAACTCGCTCTGAAAATGGAAACCCAGCCCTGCGTCGGCGGCCCGCAATTACAGAGACGTCATTCACTTCCCGCAACCACACAGCTTTAGCAGGGCAGTGTCAAAGGGTGGGTGGGGGATAGGAACGCCCATGCAAAGAACCAATGCGCTGATTGGGATGATTGTCAAAGGGGGCGTGATTTCTCAGCTTTGCCTTTTATTGATTGGCTTACCGTGCTACCAAGGCTTCCCCGGTGACTCCCCCAAACAAAAGGGCAAATGGATGAAGATGCTGTTGCTATCCTGAAGAGGAATACACTAAGGCAAAATCAATCATCCGCATAGCTTTGCTGTGAGATGCTGCAGGAGGTCGGCTATTTTAATGTCATGTGTGGTTAAAGGCAATGCTAAGTTAAATCCTTCTCCCTAAAACAGTAATAGAAGTTGTGAGGCAGGGACGTAAGGTTCAGCACTTGTATAGCTTCGTGACATCATGGTCAAATATAGAGATGAAATTTGGGCTGTTTCAGCACATATCTATCCGGCTGTATATTTTAGTAAACCCACAATATCATGCATGGTTAAAATGAATGCGCATGAACAAGTAGAAGTATAATCAAAATAGCTGTCACGGCAGGAGCCTCTTGCAAAAAGCTGCATCACCAAGTTGTAACTTTGAAGAGTAAAACCGTAACTGTCTCAATGTGGACCGATCTAAACTGCTTCATGCTTTATTCGGTAATGAAATCTAGACAAATCAGTAAACAAGGACCTTCATTTACTGACATAATTTATCTTACTTCACCTTTGATGCTTTTCAATGAATCCCATGGGCAATGTTTGAGTTTGAATACGAATCTCAATTGAAAATATTTTAATGCTGTAATGTACAATGAGTACTCTGAAAGTTAGTCAAAGCTAGCTACTTAATACGGTTTTACTTCCTTAGCTCATCTTGTGACTCAAAGATTGACAAAGGAATGGATGAGTTAATGAATCCCATTCTTTAACTTTTCTTTACCACTTCTCCAGAGCTTTATATGAATACAACTCACCCTCATCTTTGAGCTTATTTCACAAATGAAGGCAAGAAAAACATCTTATTTTCTAGATAACTCATGTTAAAACTGTATCCACAAAAATGCATTTACACATATTTTTGAATTGCTTTTTGATTACATGAATGAACAGGATTCTAATACGTGACAATTTAATTTTATCTGAAGTCATTTTTTAAATAGAGAGTGCACTAATGATTTTTGGTCCAAAATATATGGTATTATTGCTTCTTGCTATGTAAAATTAATTAAAATTCAGGAGGTGGATCTTGATTTTCCAACTAAACAATCGGAGCTCCCAAAAGCAGGCTGGCATACTTAGAACTCACACACAGGACTACAACATTCATTTGATTTCAGGAAGGCAAATAAAAGGTCAGCCTTTTCTGGCACAGGACTGAGACCACAGCAGATGAGGAGGTAGCAATGGTTTTCAGCAGTTCAAATTTAATACTTTGTCCCCCTTTCTCTACAGAAACCCAGGTAAAAAAAATCCCCCACTCTCATAAAATACAACAGCAGCAGTTTCCTACAAAAAAAAAAAAAAAAAAAAAAAAAAAAAAAAAAGAAAAGAAAAGAAAAGAAAAAGAAATGCAAAAAAAAAGAGAAATGCAAAAGAGAGAGAAAGCATAGAGCAGAGAAAAGATAGAGTAAAGACATGATGAGGCAAGAAAGGAAAATATGTTTTCTATACATGAGGAGTGAGTCCAAAGTCCATCTTCAGACCAAGTTAGGGGCAACGAGGCATCTGGGAACTTGCTGTTGTGTTCATTCAAAATGGAGGGGAGACAAATCAAAAAAAAAAAAAAAAAAAAAAAAAAGGAGTTGAGTCCAATCCAACTAGGGGAAGGAACCAGCACTCTAAGGCAGGGATCTATTCAGGAAGGGCTTTTCTTCCTCTCTGGATCAAAGAAAATCTCACTCCTCTTCAGCCTGTGTGATGCATTTTGTGGTGTGTACATCTGAATTGTATGTGCAAGTTTGTATATGCAACAGGGAAACTGGAAGGTGTGTCTGTCATACATATGGTCAACACAGCTGCACCTCTCATTTGCTGTAAGAGAGGTGGCATTTTTCTTTCCTCATTTTTTCCTTGCATTCCGTCGCGTTTCTATTTTTTCCTCCCAACATCAGTCCCCGACTACCTAGTAGTCATCCAAATCAAAGAACTCGTCGTCCTCTCCTTGATACTCCATGCCCTGGAAATCCACCCTGTACCGCAAGATACCTGAGGAACACAAAAGATGACAAATTAATATGGGCAATATGATGGCCAGCCAACTTATGTCTGGTTAGGTTGTGGTAACATTAAAATAAGAATTTGTATAGGGATAAAGTAATCCCCATTGGTTACCGGAATGGCAGCATTAGTATTCAAAAAGCTTTTTTCCCCCCCTTTTAAACAATTGTTACTTACTAAATTACAAACATAAAATGTACTTTCAGACTCAGGAAAAAATGTAAAAGGAACCATTTCAAGACCTGTTTTTTTTTTCTTGAATAGTGTCTTTAAAAACATACCACCATTAAATTAATTTGACCCTGACCACATCCACAATTGTCCTACATCACACCTGTTCACAGGGAATGGATTAAAAAGATTTTGCTGCATAAAGGCCTCCATTATACTAATGCCAACTGGACATCATCCAATGAGGAAAAACATTTTACTTGCACCCTTATTACAGTACGTGTTAAAATTTGAATACTTTGATTTATTATGATGCTAATGTTCAGTTATGAAACTGAGTGGTTGGCAAGATGAATAACAATAATAAAAAATGTATTAAACAACTTCACCACTTGATAAAATAGCAACAACGTGAAACTTTGTGATCACAGGGAATTTCTAGTCAATGCATGTCTTCAAGAGGTTGGACAACATATAGTGGCAATTCTAGTGCAGCAAAACCTGGAATTCAGGTCCAGGTCCAGAAGCAGCTCCAAACCATGATGCTCCCTCCACTGTACTTCACTGTTGGGATGATGTTTTTATGTTGGTGCTAAGGTCTCTTATTTATACCATACATAGTGCTGTGTGTTCTTCCCAAAACAATTTTACCCTTCGTTTCATCTGTCCACAGGACATTTTCCATGTAGCGTTGTAGAATGTCAAGATGGTCTTTGGCAAACTTCAGGTGTGCAGCAATGTTGTTTTTGTTTGAACAGTGGCTTCCTCTGTGATGTCCTGCCATGGGTACCAATATTCAATATTTTGCACTTGGTTGACTCCTGAATAGCGACCTTAATCAACTCCAATGAATCCTTCAAGTCTAACTGTTACTCTAGGGTTCTTTTGTACCTCACTGAGCATTCTGCGCTGTGCCTTTGGGTGATCTTGGCTGGGCACCCACATGTATGAAGAGTAGCCACAGTATCAAATCATCTCCATTTATAGACACCATGTCTAACTGATGACCCTGTAACCCTTTCCAACCATATGCAAATTAGCAACTCTTGATCATAGGTCTTCTGAGATCTCCTTTTAGCGAGGCATGTCTCACATCAGCTGATGCTTGTGAATAGCACACCGACACAGTGTTTTTCTAAGTCAAGGTAATTCTAAAACACACCTCCATTCTTGTTTCATTGATTGGACTCCAGGTGTGCTAGCACCCAACTCCAGTTTACTGACACCAGAAGCCTCATGTTGCCATTACTTTCCTCCATCACTTTGTACATTTAATGGGTGTGTTCAATGAAGACATGAAAGATCATGACTGTTTGTATTTTATCAGCTTACAAATACTGTGGTTGTTGATATTTGTGACTATGGCAAAGATGAGATCACATTTCCTGATCAATTTATGCAGAAAAGATGGACACTGCAAACAGTGCCATTACTTTTTCTTGCAACTGTATATTAGGCAGCAAGTCAACAGTCAGTCCTTGAAGTTTATGTATTGAGAGCCAAGGGCCAAACTGATGGCTAAATAACTGGGTCAGAGCATCTACAAAACCTCTGTTGTTGGGTGTTCCCAGTCTGCAGCGGTTGCTACTTAACAAAAATGTGGTCCAATGAAGGACAACCATGGGTGCCCAAGACTCACTGATATGCGTGGGTAGCCTGTTTGGTTCAATCCCACAGAAGAGCTACTGCACCACAAATTGCTAAAAACAAACAAAAAAAAACAAAAAAACAATGCTGGCTCTAACAGAAAGGTGTCAGAACACAGTGCATCACATTTTACTGCGTATGAGACTGCATAGCCGCAGACCCCTCTCCACCACCAAAAGTACTTACAATAGACATCAGAACTGAACTAAGGAGCAATAGAAGAAGGTGGCCTGATCTGATGAATCACATTCTCTTTTGCATCTTGCGGACACCTGGGTATGTGTACATCATTACCTGTGGAAGAGATGGCACCACGATGCACTATGGGAAAAAGACAAGCTGGTGAAGGCAGTGCTATGCTCTGGGGCAATGTTCAGCTGGGAAATCTTGGGTCCAACCATTACTTTGACATGTACCACCTACCCAAACACTGCTGCAGACCAAGTACACCCCTTCATATTAAAGGTGTTCCCTGATGGCAGTGGCCTCTTTCAGAAGGATAATACATGCTGCCACACTGAAGAAATTGTTCAGTATTGGTTTGAACATGACAGAGTTCAACGTGTTGCTTTAGGGTCCCAGATCTGAAATCTGACTGAGGGATGTGATAGATCCATGGAGGCCACACCTTACAATTTACATCTTGGTGTCAGATACCAGAAGATACTTTCAGAGGTCTTGTGGACTCCATGCCTCAACAGGTGAGAACTGTTTTGATGACAAAAGGGGGGCCTATACGATATTAAGCAGGTGGTTTAAAATGTTGTGGCTGAATAGTGTTAAGACCCAGACTATCAATATCTTAAATGTATTTGATGTCGGCATAAAATAAATGTAGGTAGAACAACTCTGATGTGGTCTGCAGCATAGCATAAAACAGATTCCCAGAAAAGATATTTTTATTTTACCAGTGATAGACTTATTTATCCCTACACCATTCCAGGCGGAGGAAGAGGCAGCAGTAAAAGAAAAAGGAAAGCATTTCGAAGGTACCCTTAGTACCCATCTGAAGTTCAGTTCACTAAGCCACACAACAAGCTTCATGAATTAACCACTGAGCTGTACATACTCTCCATTCTTCCGAACTTGATATTGTAAAGACATACAATTCAAGAGTAGTTTAAAAAAATAAAAAAAATCTACTCATGAAAAACTGTGTGCTCACCCCCAATGCCTCCAAAGCCCTTGACAAACTGGGATCCTTCTTGGCTTTTGTCTGTGACTATCTCCAGTGTGGCTCCAAATTTCTTGTAGTTGTTGGCAAACCACTCCAGCAGCGGCATGCTCTCAATGAGCTCATGTTCCTGCCCCGTCTAGGAAAGTCAGAAACATGAGGCATAATGGATAAAAAGGCCTAACCCAAATCACAAATATATGTCCTCCGTTTGCCAAACTTACCTCCTTGTCTGTGAAGTGAGACTTGTCTTTCTCCTGCTCTGGTGTTAAGTACAAAGTCTTCTCATCTAAACGTCAAAGACAAGAAGATTATAGCAACATAATAGTGTTCATTACCACGTTTTTCTGCAGTGGCAGTGCATATGTGGTTTATTTACCGTTCTCCGCTCCATTGCTCTCTGCCCCATGCACACGTAGAATGTAACGCATGGTGTCTAAGTTTTCATAGACTATGAGGATCTCCACCGCTCCCATCTCCAGGGCTTTAAGTGTATCCTCCACACCAAAGCAGTACTTCCCTGTGTCCTGACTGATCTCATCGAAGTACCGCCCTATAGAAAGGGACAACCCATTAGAAAAATCTCTTAAGATTTGGTTTCCTTCAGCTTTAACTACTGAGACCTAAATAGTTGTTACACTGTGCGAAGAAGGATGACTCACCTATGAGTTTCTTCTCCTGAATGAACTTAACATTAGAGAGAACCTCTGCTGAGAGCTCAATAGCCTGGTTGAAACCATTCTCTCCTCCATAGGAGATGTCCACCAGCTTCAGGACCTTGGCCTGTAACCTCTGTTTAAAAAATGCAAAAACAAACACACACAGCTTAAAAACTAAACCCTTTTCACCAAAGTCATTAACAGAAAAAAAATGGTAAAGGCTTTCAACAGAAAGATGTTAGACACATTATACAAGTTTTGTTCCTGCTAGAGAGCCATTATGCATATGTGTATGTATAGATAGATAATGAATGGAAATAATGGTTGTATGTAGTATATACAAGTTTCAAAAGGACCACTACAAGTGCGAGAAACACCCAGTTAAATCCAATTATTTACCAAGAACACAAAGAATTTGGCAAACAGATCTTTAGCTACAGAATGCAAAAACTGCACAAGCTACATTAATGCTATCATATTTTTATAATACTACTACTGAACAACCTGTGTCTGTTTTATAAATCACAATATTAGTGTTAACTGTCTTTTTTTTCTGAATATGAAAGTTTGCATTTGTTTGCTGATACTTAAAAAACAAAAACAAAAAAAAACAAACTTTTTTTGCATCTAGCCCCCACAGTGACACATTGTGTAAAAGACTAAAGTATGGATTCTAAGATGTTTAATGCTCTAGTGTATGAATTGCTTGGAAAAATATTCACATTAATTATTAATATATCACATAGTAAATACTTAACTGATTATGTAAATGTCACATTATAGACTAAATCGTAAACACTTTTCCTGGTTCTAATGCTGTGAACCAAGGATGTGTTCCTTGGCAAAAGCAAAACAACTAAAACATAATACATTAGGGCTCTCACTTTTTATATGAATTTCAAACATTTGTTCGAATGTGGTAAAAAAAAAAAAAAAAAAAGAGAGAATTTGAACTGTAATGGCCTTTTCGATTCCAGCAATGTACACCATGTCAATAAGTGCAACAGGCCATCTTATGTAATTTGTCTTGTGGCTCAACAGAGGATGTTCTTTAAATGTACTGTCAGCTTGACCAGTTACAGTCCTGTTGACCTCTCAGTGGGGTGGCTGTGGCTCATGAGGTAGGGCAGTCGTCTCCTGACCAGCAAGTTGGTGGTTCGACTCCTGGTCTCCCCGCATGCCTAAGTGTCCCTGAACCCCGAATTGCTCCCGGTGGCTTGACTAGCGCCGGTGCATGGCAGCCTGTCGTCATTGGTGTGTGAATGTTATGGGTGAATGGTGTATGATCTTCTGTAAAGCACTTTGGCCAGTGCAACACACTGTGAGAAAGTGCTATATAAAAATACAGTCCATTTAAAGTAAGCTTGTAACATTATGCTTGACAGAATGTGGGATATTAGCAAGCAAAGCTGTGGTGATTGGGCAATGACGACACTGGAGTGATGTCAAGATAATGGTTTGCTGACTGCAAAAAAGCATATGCTTGCTCAAGTACACCACATCTAAGAATTCACCTGCAATCTCACTACCCAAATTAGGCACCGACGTTAACGTTACCATAGATGAATGGAGCAGTTTCCATTCTACATCCTCGCCTAACTGTCCTACCCCTGCAACTTACTTGTGCTGAAGAAGACCGGTGGCTCAAAAAGTCAGTTCAACATCATTTGAATGTACTTTTTGTAAAAAGTGACAGCCTTATGATACATCTCTATTTTTAAGCTTAAATGCGCAAAACATTTGAGGAGGAATGATAAAAAAAAACCCTGAATGGCTAACAAGGGCATCATCACTGTGCATAACTTACAAAAATTAATACTGTCCCATACAGCTATATACAGTAGCAGATGCTTTAACTAAGCCCAGACGTCCACTTTAACAACCAGTTTGAGCACAGACAGGACAGAAACTTGTATTCAAACTCAGATCAGTATGCAGTCTTTTTTCTGTTTGTCCATCTCCTCCTACAAGAAAGCCAGAGTCAGCTAACCATATTGAGTCACAACAGACTAGTAAATTGTGGTTCATCCACATAGACTAACTGTATTTATGCTGGTTTACAGGACTGTTGTGACTCAAGGCAGTTAATATAGCCAGCTATCATCCGTTGCTTTTTAACCTGACTACAAAGTAGATATTTTATATATCATGCAGCCTGAAATAAACCACTTATCACCTTTAACCTCTGCATATGCATAACTTAATGTTGTATGTTTACTGAGAAAATGCGCAAACACAAAAACTGAACTCAGAATTTTACAAATCAATACTCAATCATTCAAATAATAATCACAATTACTAGGAAAATCGACACCGTTATCACACCCTAACACACACGGACTTACTGGGTCAAACATGTCAGATTGGCTGAGCTCAGTTTTGAAGTCGGCAGAGCCAGCCAAAACCATTCCTGCCACATTAACTTTGTCGTTGGACACAAACAGCTGGACAGCTGTCTCAGCCACTTTTCTCACATAGTTGTGTCTCTTCTCCATTCGCAAACGAGCAAATCGCAGAGCAGACTGCCCTCCTCTACCTGAAAAAGATAACAAGAGATTAAATTTTTAGAATGTTTCTTTATGAGCAGAACTAAAGGCCACAAAGTAATAACTAATCAATTCTTTAATGAACTCTGCTTTGGGTGGGTGGGGGGGGGTTATAATTAAAGGTGCAGTGTTGTGTGAGCATTATGGTTCGGTACCGTGTTTCTTGGGTAGGTCCACTGTGAACTTGTGCAGCACCTCCCTAGTGTTGCCCTGCAGTGTGCCAAACAGTGCCCCACTACCGTCGATCACAATAAAGCCAAACTTACTGTCGTCAGAGAGCAGGGCTGTCAATGCCTGGATTACAGAGAGTAAGGGAAGAATGGGTGATGAAAACTTAACAGAAAGCTGATGTAATATGGATACAAAACAAAGGTTGTGGTCCTGGTAATTTTATCTATGCAGACACAAAAAGCAAGCAAATGTCTCACCTCAGTGTGGAACTTGTTGTCACACAGGTACAGGGAGGTGTTGATTGGCTTAAAAGGTTCAAAGTCGATATTGACTTTCTTCTCCTTGCCTTCCTCTGTCACAATGGTCCCACAGTAGACAACCAAACCATTGGGTGGCACTGGCATAAGAGAACAATCAGAGGCTTATAGATCAGACTAATATAATGTTACATACAAAATTTACAGTGTCTTAAATGGAGGCCAGAGGTGGAGTGTTTAGAGAGATGTTGTATCGCATCATTACATTAAATATGGGGAAAAAAAATCCCCTTGAATGTTTTCATGATATGATGTAATGACACTGTACCAATGGCTAACGCGCGCGCGCGCACACACACACACACACACTCCATGCTTCGATACCATAACCACCACATGTTGTGCTAGTGACTTATTGTTTCTCATTTACTAGGTGGATATAAGTTGTAAGGAGGTTCATAAGGTTGGCAGACAGACATTTGATGTATGTGTAAACAACACAAGAGGCTGAACCATGTTTCATGAACCAGTGAGACAATGAAATACAATTTGGGAAGCCTACTACTTGTACTCATAAAAAGGTGCCTTGAAACTATGCCCAGATACAGTTGAACAACAACATGACATCTTCCTCATGCTGGTTGAACAGGTTGTTAGGTAAAGGATGAGGAATTTAAGCAGTTTGGAGAGATTTAAAAAAGTGACAATGAATAAAGTAAAACCAAATGCTTGTGGATTCGGAAGCTGAACAGCTCCTCTACAGCATTACAAGTACTGTATGTCTAGTAGAAAGGCCACTGCTCTCAGCAGCAGAGGATGATACCAGACGGTTGCCAGGTTAACACAAGAGCATGCACTTTTAAAACAATGATTTTAAACTGCCGACTGTTACGTTAGGAGCTTCTAACAACAACAAAAAAAAGCACAGTATTAGCTACATTATGTTACGTAGTACTGAAATTCGGTTAGTTCCATATTACTTGCAATTGGCAGTGTTTTATGTTCATTTTGTAAAATCACAATCAAAAAGTCACTTTCGGCTTTTCCCGTTTAGGGGTCACCACAGTGAATCATCACACTGACGACTCGCATGTTGACATTTGGCACGCGTTTTACGCCAGATGCCCTTCCTGGCGCAACCCTGATTCGAACCTGGGCCGCAGCTGCGAGAGCGCTGCACCTTAACCACTAGCCTACCAGGGAAGGCTTTAATAACAATCAGAAAGTAAATGATCAAAAAAAAAAAAAGTGGCAATACATTTCTAAAATCACTGTGCTTTGATATAAATTTGATTATTGCAATATTCAATAATTAGTATTTGTATCAATACTATATCAGAAAGTGAGTATCGTATGCAAGTAATCAAACAGGGTCTTGGCACATGCGTAGTAGAAAATGTTAAACCAGATCCAACTTGTCAGTTCCCACTGCAAATAACAACTCCTACCCCCGACAAATGAGAAACACTGCATATTTTTTTAGTATTTGTCTGAATTCAGCCTTTGCTTTTTCTGCAACGCAATGTGATGTCATGCGGCAAGGCACCGCATTGGCCAATCAGGTGAATTATCTACACTGCATTGCCGCTGTTTATCTCAAGATCATGCCGCTTAAAGTTAAAACATGTGCTGCCATGATAACTTTCCAGAGTCCTCTCTGTGTTTATTGCATTGCACCGAGTTTTAAACACACAATTCCATTCCTCCAACTGGACTTCCTGGGTCATATTTCACTGTTTCATGGGTACATGAAGCAACACCCCACCCCCCACCCACAGTCCCTTGCGCTGTTTTAATATAGGACAAATGCCTGTGTGAATCCAGCCTAATAGGTGACAATTCCACAGCAACCCTGTTTAAAGTTTGATAAGGAGGAAGAGCACTGTCACTCAACCAATGTCCATTCCATAAATGTATGGTCAAATGTAATAAATTGCAATCTTGAGAAATGTTAGACAATACATATATTTAAATTTCCAGTTCACACTAGACATACTTGTCATAAAACTTCATGGTTATGAATTTGGATGAATATTTAGCAACTTTTCTCTATGCCGTCCCTGGTAGGGCTAGTGGTTAAGGTACAGCACTCTTGCCGCTGCGCCCCGGGTTCGAATCAGGGTTGCGTCAGGAAGGGCATCCAGTGTAAAACATGTGCCAAATGTCAACATGCGAGTCGTCAGTGTGACGATTCGCTGTGGCGACCCCTAAATGGGAAAAGCCGAAACTGACTTTTTATTTAGCAACAGCCACCAACATTATGTTGCTGCAACAGTTACATTTAATTACATGTTATTTAAAAACTAGATATAAATTTTTGTGTCAAAACATTTTAATACTAGTCAGTTCTGTTCAGCTGTCCCTCAAAAGTTGAAAGTTAAAGGTTTTATTTGGGTTTCACTGTAACACATACCCTTGTTGTAGAGTTTTAGTCTTTGCTGTACAGAGGTAATGGCCCCGAGCACAGAGAGCCTGTTGACTCGGCTCTTGATGTTGGAAGCTGTGCCAAACTCATCAGCCAACATCTTGGCCACTCTGGATATCTGGTCCTTGGGAGGAATGATCAGTGAGATCATACTGGTGCCATTACTACAGAGAGAGATGACTTAATATTAGTGTTTACATACATAACATAAAATTTCTATGGGATGCTGTTTCTAACAACACACTATAAACATCAGGTTAGTACTTTACCATTATTAGTGCATAAAAAGCTGAACACCACAACAGTTCTGTGTATTTTATTACCTACATCTTCACCTCTTACGCTAACTTTATTTTGTAAACACAACTTTCCCTTGCAAGATATCACCTTGACAAGAGCTAAACACTTGATTGACAAACAGGGTAGCTTTCAGTTAGGTGGCTGCCTGCCCTGTCAAAAGACAAAGAATACAGTACAGGCTGATACTGCACACACAGGTCAGGTAGCAGCAGCTGGATGAATACAGGGCAAATGGTCAACTGTGTGTGACATGGCTGGCAGTGAAGCACAGGACAGCAAATTCTACGCAACACTAGACGGCAAGCTGTCGCAGAGCAAGCAAATTACTTGTGTAGGAACACCCCCGTTTTAAACGTCATATTCGACAATTCAATGCCACAATACCCTACACGCGAACAACTTATATCAGATTCTTTTCAACTGACCTTTTTCCAGTCAGTAAAGCTTTAATGTAACTAACGTTAACACTGAGGAGCTCGGCTACCATGAGGTATCCAACCAAATGGATTCGTGGGGGGCTCTAGAAGCTTTTTCATATAATCTACATTTACAATGGGCCAGTCAAACATTATTTGAAGCTATGAAAAGCGTCTATTGGGGCATGCTGAAGTCCCAACTGTATGCTAGCCGGCCTCCCTTTCTCATCAACGTGCTTTCTTGTTGAAGACAACCATGGCGGCCTCTTCCCAGAGATGACGTCTATTAACGAGTCTCATTAGCAACACGGCTAACGTTAACGTTACAGTCTTTACAAACCCTCTGCGTGACTTGAAGCAACATTATCCGCACTGTCACTCATAACACACAAACACAGACGTATCAAAACACACATTCCTTAAAATTAACACAATGTATCAAACCTCCAGACAGGCTATACGCGACAGCAGTTAGCAATTAGCAAGCTATCAGCAAAAGCTAGGGTAAGCTATGCTAGGCTAACCACTCCCAAATTCGGCCCCACTTATTCGATCCCCCAGCTGTTGCGGCGATCCACATTCACACCATCACCCCAAGACACAGACCCTAATACAGATATGCTGGGCACTACATCGACATGCAGCTCAAATCGATTCCTTACCCACGGGCAGCTTCCAAACTTTTGATCAGCTTTTTAATTTTCCATATCTCCACGTTCCTGTCCGCCGCGCTGGGGTCGTCCGCCATCTTTCTGCTGTAATCGCTTCAGCACCTGAAAAGACGTAAAAAGAAGAGTTAAACATATGCGGTAAAAGGCCAGTAACCAGTCTGACATATACAAATATTCACTCGAACTAACAAGACTAGCTAAACACCTATCCAAACTAGCGGCGTGGTGTCTGTTAAGGCACCTAACCAATACGGGGAGCTGGAACGACCGGAGGAAAAGACTCTACCCGGGCTGTTTCTGTCAGTATAGTGCGCGGAGAATAACAGGCCTACCCTCTGCTAGGCCCTAGCGTCCACCCTGTTCTTATCTAATACGACCTACTTTACCCATGTTCCCCTGGAAACCACACAAAAAACAAGAGTCAGCTTTTCAGACGTTAAGCATATATCAACATAACTGTGGTCGGTACATTACCTGCCTCGGACAACGCCGCTCCACTCCGCTCTCTGTCAGCTACGCTACGTCGAGTCAGTGGTCCGAGGGGTGACGTTGTCTTCCCTACCGGTTTCTCTGTCCTCCACACACTGCGCGTGGTTCTACTGACGGCGCTCACGTGTGTGAGGTGGTTAGAATTGTGGCGTTCACTTCCTGGAAACCACATAGAAACCAATGACATATATTGGCTGGTGCGTCAATCATAAAATTCTGAGCAACGATTGGACAGAACCTACAACATCGTCAAAAATGGGTGGGCGTGTATTATTGTGAATTTGTAGTTAGTGTGATGTGACTCAAGGACATCTAGCGTTAGCAAGTTGTGTGAACTTTGGTTTTGCTGTTACAGTTTGTGGTTTAAGCTAGAAACATCTTTCGAAGTCATCTTTGAGTCGCTCTTTAAAACTATTACATTTTTATTATTTATTATATGAAAGAGCTACATAACTATTTCTTCGGAACAGTGACATCTGCTGGTCAATTTGAAAACATGTTTGCCAAATAAATTCTACTGTTTAACCAGAAACGAACGCAGCAGCTGGTGCAATGGCTGGTTCTGAATGTGATTCTAAAGTTAATTTCACATCCACACAAACATTATAACTATAAATTTAAGTTTTACCTGTTACATAATTGACAATTATCTGTCTTACCAAAGTGCTTAAAAATTTCCACCCACACCTTAGTAAAACATTTTCTTGCAGTTCAGCACATTTAAACATGGTAATTCTGGCTGGGTTTAGACACAATCCAATGGGAGAAACATTTCACCTTCAAAGACTAGCAGTAGATAAACTGAGGGCAGGGGGATAAAATGTAGCCTAGTGACTGTTTTCTGAGATATTCAGTAGACAGTTTCATGGCAATTCTACAAGTGCCATTACAACAGAAGCAACTTTTTGATGGAGTATTCATTGTGGGTTATATGCCTATTAAAACACAACTTGGCTACCCACCCACCATACTGTGCACTACTGGCAGAGATGTGCTGTGTCTGTCAATTAATTCTTGTCAGCTTGTCACTTGCTGTAGAGGAAAGAAAGAACTGAGGAGATTAGAAAACTGGCACGAGTATGAACTAGATACAGTATCATTGGTGAAATATCACTTGACGGTGGTTTGACTCAACCAGTGCTTTATTAAGTAATATGAGTGAATACATTTTTCTCATCCAAGTTTAAGTAATTCAGTTTTATACCTATAAGCCTACAAGACATTGCTAATGAACATTCAAAACCTGTCCATCATCATCTGCCACAATTTATAAAGCAACAGGGGTCTTAAATGAAGAGTTTTCTTCCATATACATATGCATATGTGTATATATACATATATTTTCTGCCATCTTTGTAGCATATAAGTATTGGGACAAAGTCTGACAAAAGAGTGAACAGCAGCTTTATGGTCAGAAAATGTGGGCACCATATCCTCCCAGCAGCCCACAACCTTTGATTATGAATCAAACTCTGCAGATAGGACAGCAGAGTCATGCTGAGCTTGAAAATTCATTCCTTAATTTAGACTGTGTAAAATTATGATTGAATTAAATAAAATCCATATAATCACACAAGATGATGTGGTATTTGTACTCTTTAGGGCAGTATTCAGTCTGATATACTGTAGATTGTTCACTTTGTGTTCAAAAGCAGAGACATCATGTTGCTTAATATTGTAGCGTTTGCTGGGTAAAGAAGGGTTGGAAGACCAGGACATGTCTTTTTCTTGTTTTAGTGACAGAACACACTCTCTCTGAACAACCCAGCCAAAACCCCCAAACTATATACACACTACCCAAGGTATTATGGGACATCCCACCAAGTTTCTCTTTGCCCTCCCAACACTACACAGCCCCCACCTGACTGGTTACCATCTCCAGTAACCACAAAGTGATAACAAAGTCTTGTGGGTTCTGGGGGAGCCTGTGCTAGCACTGGGGTTGCCCTGGTGGTGCCTGGTGGGCCAGTGGAGAGGGGGTCTGGGGCTGGTGGCTGGCTCTCAGTGTCTGATCTCTCCTCGGGTGGAGCCAAGGGCCAATATGGTGCGAGTTTGTCCCTGTGGAGCACCACCACCCTGTTCCAATTTATCAGTCTCACTCTATATACCATATTTGTCAGTTTTTCCAGCACAGTACAGGGTCTGACCCCCTGGCTCGCTAGTTTTGGGGACAGTCCCTTCTTCCGCTCTGGACTGTACACCCACACCAGTGCACCAGGGGAATAGTCCTTTCCCATGCAGTGGACATCATAGGCCTGCTTCTGGCAAACCCCTGCTTCCGCGAAGGCCTTTCTTATCAGTTCATGGACCTCCTTGAGTCCTTCAAAAATCTGGTAGTATATTTCTTTGTTAGAAACAAATATGCATCATGAAACTGTCTAATCATTTCTTGAATGTTAACTTGCCCGGTTAAATTTGACTTTAGTAATATATTATAAGGTTATTAAAGTGCCCATGGCATGCTTTTCTGTGTTTTCTGACGTATCTACAATGTTACAGTGATGAATTATCATCATAAAGGTGACTGAAAACTCAAAAAACAAGGTGTACCTGTGTTGTTGTACTTCTACACAGAAACAATTTGGTTTATACAAGTCTCATGAACACTTGCTGGTGAGACTTTTTTCCATCTGCTTTATGTAAAGTCTTATGCAATAGTTTACAGAGTTCCTTGAATGTCCATATTCTCGTGGCTGTGCGCATTCATGTGAGCTTGCCTGACATCCACTGGTGCCATTTTAAAAGCGTAATTTTTCAACTGCCCTTAGTTTTGTGGATATATTTTACCTCTTGCTACCTGCACTGTGACCAGAGGATGTGTAGAAAAATATAGGGCCTGAGGTTACTGCATGTCCAGAAATGTTAATTGTACAGGGACCCGCTGTGTTCCCAGACCGGGTCTAACATGGTGTGAATGGAGCGGTTAGAAACCTACAATTAGCCGGTCAGTGAAGCACCCTGGGGCGGTGAATGATCAGCTTATCATGGATTACCCTGGAGTACTGTATCTTTAGCAGAGGTCTGGCTACATGAGATTAGGGGGGGAAAAGCACTGGGACAATGTGGCTTCCAAACTGCTGAGTGAGCAGTTCCAAGTCACAAAAAAGGTCAGCTGTCCAATTAGTGTGACTAAAGGTCTAAAAGCCTTTTCTATGTCCGATTACCTTTTGCTGTTGAGGTTGATGATGCAGATTCAAATTACTGGGTAAGATACTGGGTGAGCTATGTGTAATCCTAAGATTGTAGTATGAGTATGGCATACAGTAAGTATAGTAAAGTAGAGTAACTCTGCAAGACTGAGCCTTTTGTAGATGGGGTGGGTCATATTTAATGAAATATCTGATTTTGTCAACGTCTGTTTTAGACATCTGGCACTAAAAGATAAGCCCTAACATAAAAAACAACAACATAACATATAATAACACAATAACAATAACATAAAAAAATATTGCTTGTGCTAATGTTATACTTACATTTACATAATTATATCCTAATAATTGTAACCAAAAATAATTGTTCTCTGTTGATGGCAAACATATATGGTAATATATTAAAGGTCTGTAAACTATATGCCATGTTTTCTGTATTGTAGCTGTAGTATATCTGTCTTTAGAACCCTCTGAACATCATCATTGTATTTTATGTATTTTATCATCATTGTATGTTAATGTATTTTAAAAACTTTCCAACAAACTTTTTTAAAACTCTTAATAAACATAAAATAATTGAGGTCTGATGTGTCATTTTTCCTGAACTGTTTTCATTTTCATTTTTAAAGTATGTTAAATGTTTTTGAAGAGTGTGATGGTATGAGCCTAAAACAAAAATGACAAATATATAGACAATCTGATTTCCTTTGTCAGTGGAAGATCTACACAGAAGCAAATTTTTCATGGACTGGAGAAAGAATACTAAGGCCTTTACGCATTTATACCACTAGATGACAGCATTTGTTAGTTGAAAAATTATATCTCACTTATTGTTATTAAGTGACAAAGGAGCATCACATCCCCAGAGCTTCTGTTTTTTGTATTTTTTTAGAGGACACTTAGAAGTCAGAGCTTGCTGTACATTTGATTTTTCCTAATTGTGGCATGCAGTTTGTTACACTTTATCAAGTAGCCATATGCTGGATATTAGTCAGTATCTGTTTGTGCAGCAAGCAACAAGCCCAAAGATTACCCCGGCAGTATTGCCCATCTCTGGTGGACTGGGCGAGGGTGGGGTGGGGAGGGTATAGTTATTGTCAGTATCTGGCACTCTCATGATGTCTACATCACAGAGAAAATGTGATACTGCGGTTTGTGAAACTGACTGCCCCCTAAATTGACCAGAAATGGGAATAAGCACCAATTCATCATTATCTGTCAACCATCAGAGCTGTAATGATCTGTCACTTGGAAATGGATGGTGCGTGCTGCGCTGTGGATGAGAGCTCTTATGGCCAGGGCTGCTATTCCTCATTTCACCTGGCTGTCACACACACATTTAAAAAAGATGAGAAGGTTGACAGGTTGTATAATCCATAGTATTTTAGTTAAATCAAACAAGAGTGAAGAATTTATATTGATAATAGCATTAACAAATATAACCAAAACAAAATGTTATATCAGGGTTTTCACCTTTTTTAAGTCTCATTCACAGTATGAACACTGTTAGAAAGCAGGATATTATGTGAATTTTGTTGTATTCTCAACTTAAATTTTTATTTCTAATTTGTGTGTGTGTGTGTGTGTACATTCTACTCTATGGATATGAGAGCTGGTCCCTGACAGCATCAACTGAAAAGGCACTGGATGGCTGCTACACAAGAATGCTCAGGGCAATACTTAATGTCAGCTGGAAAGATCAGACAACAAATCAGGCACTGTATGGCGAGGTTCCAATGCTCATGGATCAGATCGCTGCAAGGTGAATGGGTTTGGCTGGCCACTGCTACTAACACCAGGGTCTACCAGCTAGTACTCTGGGATCCAACACATGGCAAACAAGGACCTGGACGCCCAAGGACCACATTCATCAAGACTGATCAAAGACGAAGGAGTTGAATCCACTAGTGAGCTCGCAGAGTGTATGAAAGACAGGAGTGACTGGTGTAGCCGCTGTCAGGCCAGACTTAGATGTTGACCGGAGTGAGTGAAAACTGTAACCTTTCAGTTAGTTGGTGAATGCTCCTGCTT